CATAATATCATCAATAATGAGATTCAGTCCTTTTTCGATGTTAATTGTGAGGTCTGGAGCCTCAAACACAAGGACTACAATGATGTTGTAAAGGGCATTAGGTTTAGCTAAACAGCAAAGTTGAAGTTCAAACTTGGTTGAATTGCCGCCTTTGTCCCCACCAAATTTCAAAAGAATGTCACCATTGTGAAAATTCAACTGTTCTTCTGACCTACAAAAAATATAGTGAGGGTTTGGCATAATATTCTATTCAGTACTAAGAGTTACATTTACACTTGTTTTTTATACAGGATTCATTTTTAGTATGTTTCTCTTGATATAAAATTTGTTTTTACAATACTGTAGTACATGACACTAGATTATTATCAATTAATAAATGTAAATAAATAAAATTATGTAAATAATAAAACAGTTTAACTTACTTGTCATATTGATTTAAGTAGTCATATAACAGCTGCTTGATCTTGGTTATTCTGACTACTGGCACTTCTTCCAGGACTAAGCCTCCAATGGATGTCACCCCTTCCCGTTTTACAAACATGTACTCCATTGATTTCATTAAGTAGTCGCCAACATTCTTTTCTTGTAGGGACCTCATTTGCCTTTCCGATGCAAAGAAACCTGGGCAGAATCTGAAATTATATATTAAAATGTAGCAAGAGAATATTGTGAATTCCATAACAACAAGTTACTGTACCTTACTGTATTATTACCTGAGTTACTGAAAAATTGTTGTTTTTCTTTAGCTATTATAATTATTGTAATAATATGTTTCTTAATTAATTTCTTAATACTTTTATTTTATGTTAATTTCTTTGTACTGTAATAAAATTGAATAAAACAAACTTTATATTATGTTACATTATATTGAATTGTTTTATTTACTTAGGATTTATTAGATGATAATGCATTATCAATAAGTATTATTTTACCTCCGTAATGCTCGTTGCTGACTTCAATTAATTTTGCAAGCATTCATTATGCCTAGGCATCTCTTTGCATCCATTTTCTGCTTATCAATATCAGAAATCACCTTTACTGTTTCAGTTTTTGATTCTGTAACCATCTTTAGTGGCTGGATTTGGTAGAGCAATTTTAGAATACAGTATTTATGTAATGTATTGATCAAATTGTATACATATTGAAAAAAAAAACATGTAAATCCACAATAAATTGTCAAAGTTAAGTAATATTATTTTTAATAAATATACAGTAATTAATATTAAAATAGAAGTAAGCTGATTTGAATCTTACCCGTCCTTGAGTTTTTATTGACAACTTTCCATTAGATACCTGGGTTTCTCTGTGTACTAATTTATGAGCTAAATCTGTGAGTTCAGTTGGACATATGTGGTTTTCCGCCCTGGCCTCTTCAATTTCCTGAACAGCATTTCGGATTTTGAAGAAGGCTTGTTCCTTGTTACTTTTACAAATGTGGTTAATTGTTCCATTTAATACGAGTTGCTCTTTACATTTGCGACACTGAAGTGGAACCATTGTTATTGTATGCTCAATTATTTGAGGAATTTTGTTCAGATCTTTCTGGCTAAAATTGTAACTACAGCAAAAGCATTGGATTGATGACTTGCGAATTGCTTTGAATAGCTTATTTATGCAAAAAGCACAAAAAAAATGATCACATGGTGTCTTCACACTATCCAATGACAGAAGTTTATTGCAAATGTTGCATTGATACACTTCATCTGCTTTGTGCAAAATTTGAAACTGTTGATTAACCGTAGCCAAAGCAGAAAATGTTTCAAAAGTGCCACTTTCACTTCTTGGATTAGAGTTAATCATAAACTTCTTTGGTCTGGGACCTGGTCTTAATTGATTTGTATACAAGTAACATGTTAAACAGAACTCTTTGTGTGCTGTAAACTCAAAAGGGGTAATCTTATGCTCTTTGCAATAACGAGAATGACATGTGGAGCATAGTGACTTTGGATTGTTTTTATTATTAATATCATAAGATGCAGGCCTGTTGTTCATATTATCCAAATTGTATTTCTCATCGTTCACCTTGATTTTTTTTTTCCACAGCAGAAACAAAGAAATGATAGCGCCTTTTCGTGAAACTCCATTCTGCAAAAAAAAAAAAATGATTGCGACTATACAGTATATATCTGTGTATAATAATATATGTATCTACATGAATGTCTTTATTGGACAAAATACAACACTGATTTCTGTAGGCTAGGTTTGATACAACTAATTTTTGACTGAATAGACTACAGTAACAGTGTTTAAGTTGTCATTAGCCAAATGCTAATAAAAGCTGAATTTTGCTAAATATTTTAATTCAAAATTAATTAGCCAAAAGCTAATGGAATAATTATTATACCTAGGCCTAGTAGCCTATGCTTATTTATTTTTTGGCTTATCACTTCTATTTTCATAGCAAATTACAAATTGCTAAATACTGTTTTTGGCTAGCCTATTAAACCTACTATAATGGGCCTTTGTTTAAATAAATAAATAAATAATTTAACTAAAAATAACTAGGCCTAGGCTAAAACCTAGGCCTAGGGAGGACCGTGCATTGACGCCCCATTCAGCGCGTTCATCCATACGCCTATCGTTATCGTAGCCTACCGATAAGCCGATCGTATCGAAAAAGGCAGGATACATTACGGAAAATTATTCATTGTTTTTTCCATCACAATAAAACTAGGACCAATGTAATCTTATAATATTGATGTATTTTGTAGTAATTATTGTATAACTCGAATAATATTTATGTAAACAAAACAAGTGAAAATCTATGGATGATTTTTTAGCTTACGTTTGTTTACTATTTTGTGGCGCTGTTGATTGTGTACTTCCGCATTCACTCCTGGTGATTTATTTCAATAAATTAGACTTTATGATAATTTATTTACAATTTTACCGTAATCCCTCCGTTGAATAGTAGGTTATTAATAAAATGTATGTAAATTTGAATCACAAAGGCGATGCATGATATCATAATCTTAAGGAAACTTCGACTATATGTTGCTTCCAAAATTCGCCGTTTTCCAGAGATAGCGAAAAAAAAAACAAAGCTCGCGCGGTCTTGCCAATCCCTGATGAGCGTCGTCTGCTAACACTGAGGGCGCTGGACTTTTTCTAAATTTTATACGTAGACTGGAACAGCTGTGTACAACGCATTACCCATAATCGTGAACAAATTACACGGAGCGTGGAAGAACGAGCCTCCCGAAAGGACTCTTTTCCGAACAACTCACGCACGACAGCTACAAAAAACGTAAGTTTCATTTTAATGGATTAAAAAATATTTGATAAGACAAAAAAATAGATACTTATCGTGTGTTATTTCTCCCTCAGATATCTTCGCATACTGGTTAGTACGGTCTTACCGACGATCGCCGTCGTGGTCACGTTCACGTCGGGCATATTGACCGACAGAACGAAGGCGAGCACCATCGACATCCGGATGCCGTTCAGCGTGACGCTCGGCGTGTTCGTCTTTTACTTGGTCTTGGCCGTGTCGGAGAAGCGACCGATCGACTCGATCTTCGACGCTATGGTAACATCCGCATTCATCCAAGCACTGTCGAAAGGAGAAGAACCGTTAATAGGATTGATCGTCATGACGTCGCAGGGGAGCGGAGTTCTAGAGCAGATACAAGGACAGATGAAATCGTGCTTTACTCACTCCGAGTATCCTTCTCGTCGGACTTTAGTCCGAACGGTTTACGGATACGCGATCTCTACGTACCTCTTCAACGGGTTGGTTCCGTTTGCCTACTTGATGACAACATTCGCGCAGGAGAAGACGATGGCTTCGCAGATATCGTCAGTTTCGATAGGATTTTTTTACATGTTCCTGATATTTTTCAGTTTCATGAACGGGTGGTCGTTATGCACGGCTACGAGTGCGTGCAAAGCACTCGATCGTGGCCACGAACAACGGCCCACCGCATCTCCCCCGTCTCATCCTCCCTCTTACGAGGAAGCGATGGGCATTGTTTAAATAAAGAAAGTTAACTGTCACGATTTTTACAAAAAGTATGTAGATTTTAAGAGATTTTGACAAATAAAAAACAGAAAAAAAAAATATGAAAAAGTCTAATTGTTAGTTTTTTTTTCTTCGTTGTACTTTTCGACTTTTCTGGACTTAGAAAAAAATTTCGACTTTTCTGGACTTAAAAACAATTTCGACTTTTTTGGACTTATAAAAAATTTCGAGATTTCTGGACTTAAAAAAAATTTCGAAAATTCTGGACTTAAAAAAAAATTCGACTTTTCTGGACTTAGAAAAAATTTCGACTTTTCTGGACTTAGAAAAAATTTCGAAAATCTGAACTTAGAAAAAATTTCGACTTCTCTGGACTTAAAAAAATTTTCAGATTTCTGGACTTGGAAAAAATTTCGAGATTTCTGGACTTTAAAAAAAATTCGACTTTTCTGGACTTAGAAAAAATTTCGACTTTTCTGAATTTTGTTCGAATTCGGGTACCCATGACGTAATGGGGGTTCGGATCGACGTGCCACTTCGAATGCGGTCGGCATGAGGAGGAAGGTACCCATGACGTCATGGGGTGGAATGGACTTCCATTTCGTATTTTAATGTAGAGTGAAACGTCGTCGTACTTCTACGTACCATGGGATGATATTCGCCACTACCGTACTGCAGAAACACAACATCAACGCAAGAACTTAAAAATACTGCGACGAAGTTGCGTTTCCACAGGACGACCGGGCTGCCGGCCGATGAAACGTTGTTCAGACGCTCACTGATCGAGTTGTTGTATTGGTATGAAGCTCCGCGACTTCAAGCTCGGCTTCAACACTTTTTCGTACTTTCCCGGTTTTGGGAAGACACGATACTTCATCGTCATCAGTTGTTTCTTCGCAATTCTGCACGAGGAGAACAGGTACCAGAGAAGCGCCCAGCATTCGTTCACGTTCAATCCGGTCGCCCTCCGTTCTTCGATGACGTCGTGCAGCAGACGGTAAAGTGCCGAAGTATCCGAGATCAACCGCGATCTCGTCGATTCCAATATATTCCGGTTTCCGTTGACGATGACGTTGGTGATGGTTTTCGGAAACACTCGATCGAGTCGTTCTCTGTCTCCTACAAACTCGAGACAACATTCGTGTATACTTCTTCTGTTCTTCAGCCAAAGCAATTGCATTCTTGCGGACGGAGTCAAACTTGGTCTTTGTCTAACGAAGGAAGGCATCGTGAAACAATGAAATGAAACACTTTTTGAATTGCTCGTCTCGCCGATGTCTTGCTTTATACATGCTGTTCGGTGACGTCATCGTACCTCATAGGTTTCATTACTGCAGGTACCCATGACGTCATGTGGGTTGGATCGACTTGCAACTACAAACGATCATTATGATTGGCCAGGTACCCATGACGTCATGTGGGTTGGATCGACTTGCAACTACAAACGATTATTTTGATTGGCCAGGTACCCATGACGTCATGAGTGCCCCGATTGGATACTATAAAAGTCCAGGAGATTCGAATCGATTCACTTGTTTAAGAGAATTTTTGCAAGGAAAGTGCGTCAAACTTACTAAAAGGAAATGTCTTAGATTATCAATGCTGTTCAACAGTCCTACCGGGACAACTTGCAAACCGATCGCTTTCTGAACGGAAACATGCCTTTCTTACCCAGCATGTACAGCCTAAAAGATGACCACGAGGTTGTTGGCTATCGGTATTTTACGAGCCTCGTGGACGTAGCGAAGAACTTCGCCGACGCGCCGAAGGACATTGGAG